CAAATGTAGCCAATGTGCAGCTTGGTCAACATTGGGGTTTCCTAGCAATGGGAGTAGGGGCTGTCTCTGATTCTGTTGTTTGCATTTGGATCCTTTCCCCCAGCTAGGTTGCCCTGTCAGGTCTCAGTGGATGCACTTAGTCCTGCTTCGACTTGAGGTACAAGGGTGGGTGGTACCCCTAGGGGCCTCCCCTTCCCTGAGAAGGATAGGGGAGGAATAGGGACTGGGAACCTGTAAGTAGAGGAGGGAGGGGGACGGGAGCAGGCTATAAAGTAAATAAATAGATAAATAAGTTAATGAAAAAAATCTTTAAACGAACATCTTGATTTTTAAAAAAAAATTAAAAAATTCACTGTACATTCCAATCGTAGCCCCCCCCCCCATCACACCATCCTCCCTCTTTCCATACTCCCTACCTCCTCCCCTTAGAAAAGGGGAGCACCCCACCTACCCATCCTGGCACATCACGTTATACCAGGGCTGAGCGAATCCTCTACCACAGTGGCCTGGCCAGGCAGCGCCACCAAGGGGAAGTGACCATAAAGCAGGCAAGACAGTCCTTGCCAGAGACAGCTTCCACTCCCCTTGCTAGGGACCCACATGAAGACCAAGCTGTCCATCGGGTACATATTTGTAAGGGCCTATGTCAAGTCCATACATGGTCCTTGGTTGGTGTTTCAGTCTCTGCGGGCCCCCTGGGCGCAGGTTAGTTGGCTTTGTTGGTCTTCTTGTGGAGATTCTGTTCCCTCTAGGTCTTTCTATCCTTCCTCCCACTTTTTCACAAGGCGCCCTAGGCTCTGCCCAGTGTTTGGCTGTGAGTCTCAGTATCTGTTTCGACCCACTTCTGGGTGGAGCCTCTCAGCAGACAGCTATGCTAGGCATAGCAGAGTGTCCTGAATAGTGTTAGGAGTTGGCTCTCTCGCATGGTGTGGCCAGGCGATATTGGTTGGATATTCCCTCAGTCTTTGTTCTAGCTTTATACCTTAACATCTTGTAGACAGGGTAAATTTTGGGTAGAAGTTTTTGTAGGTGAATTGGCGTTCCTTCCCTTTCCTTTACTTGGAGTCCTGTCTGGTTAGAGGCTGGTCTCTTCAGTCTCCATGGCCCCCCTTGTAAGGGTCTACGCTAGAGTCACCCTCAAATCCTCCCATAAGCTTGCCCTGCTGTAGGTCTCCAGCCTGTATCAGAGATGCCTAGGCCATGGTTTCTCTTCTCTCTGCATGCCCTCTGTCTTCCTTCCTTCTCTCTCCTGCCCTCCCAACATCATATCCCCACCCTCATTTCCTTCAGCACTCCTTCTCCTATCCTGTTCCTCTCTTTTTGAGCACTTCCTCTGTCTTATGAAAAACAAAACCTAAAAAATAATAATAATAAAAAAAAATAATGTGAAGAGGCAGGTGAACCTCTGTGAGTTCGAAGCCACCCTGGTCTACAGAGTGAGCTCCAGGACAGCCAGTGCTACACAGAGAAACTCTGTCTCAAAAACAAAACAAAACAAAACAAAAACAAAAACAAAAACAAAAAAAGGTTTGAGACACCACTGCATGCTTGTTTCTTAGCATCTTATCAGCTGAACTATTTCTGATTTTGTTAATGTTTTTAAAGAATTAACCTTTAGTGTTTTTTATTTTGCCTCTGTTTTTTTCCTCTGGTTTGTTTAGTTCCACTCTTTTCTTTATTTTCTGTTTCTTTCATTTTGGGTATAATTTTCTCTCTTTTCTGTTTATAGTGATATCAGAAGGGAGCTTAGATGTTCAACAAAGACTTTTTTTGTTTTATTTTGTTTTTTTTGGTCCTGAGTCGTTGTCCCTCCCAGGCCTTTAACTTGGCTGTAGCTACCCACATCCATATTTCTCTTGTCTGCATTAATTTCTTCTGTCCTTCTCAATTTTACCATAAATGTTTATCTATGGTGTTAGTATTATGAATGTTCATTTATATATGTTACACTATTATCACATCTTACCAAATCTACTTCTTTTAAATTAAATAGGACAAATTAAGAAAAAAAATCCCCTGGAGTCTTAAATTAAACTGTGTACCCACTGTTGAATTTTTTGGGTTTCTTCTCTTCAGGCTCCTGACTGCTGGCTTTGCCACTCTGTGGTGTACCCTCAGTTTCCTCTGATCCTTTATAGTTCTGTTTTCATGTCTCATCTCTTTACGCATTACAGGCTCAGTGAGTAAGTCAGCTGAACAAGGTTTCAGGAGCCAAAGTCGATGCCTAGACTGCTTTTTTTAGTATAACACTTTTAATAATCCATTCATTATCAAAATGAAAAAAATAACATTTTTAGTAACATCTGAAAACATGAAGTATTTAGGAGCAAATTTGTCTAGTTAGCACTGAAGCCTATAGAGTTAAATATTGCTCACAGAAAGGAGGACATAGATACCTGTGCATTGGAAGATCTGATGGTGCTAAGATGCCCTCTGCCTGGTGGGTGTAGCGTGCCTAATGCCAAGCACAACTCCAGAACAATTTTTATAGAAATCAACAAACTTATTCTAAATTTTCCCCAGAATAGCCAGAACAATTTTGAGAAATAAAGCCACAGCTGGAAGACTGCCCTCCCAAAGTGTATTAAGTTGTCAGAGCTGTCAGTGTAGGTTTGGATTTAGGGTAGACCTACAGGTCCACACACTGGATGCTGAGTCCAGAAATGGACCCACACGTGTATAGTTAAGTAGTTTGTTCTTAAAGATTTAATTAAAAATTTAAGTGTGAATGTATCTGAGTCTCTGTGTGGGTATGTGTACAGGCGCCTGTGGAGACCAGAGGTCCAGTGGGCCTCCTTAGAGCAAGAATTTCAGGAGTGTGTGAGCCGCCTGATATGGGTGTTGAGAATTGAACTTGGGCCCTCTGCTACTGCAGTGTGCTCTCTGAGCTGCTGGGCTGTCTCAGCAGCTTGATTGGTTGTTTACAGAAAATAATTTTTCTTACCTTAGATTTAGTTTTTATTGTTTGAAAATTTTATACATACATATATGTGTTTTGATCAAATCTACCCCACATCCCTCCAGCTCCTCCCTAATCTCCCTTCCCCTGCTGTCCCTCTCGGCTATTTTCTCCACAAGTGTGTTTCTTTTAAGACCCTCTTAATGTTATCTGTGTGTGTTTGGGTGTAGAGTGATCTGCTAGAGCAGGACTAGCTTCTCAGGGGCTGCATTCCTGAAGAAAGTGGACTCTTCCCTCCTCCGCAGCTGTGAATTACCAAAGCTCCTTAGATAGGAGTGGGACTTCCTGAGCCCTTCTCTGGCCATGCTGGGATTTTGAGTCAGAGGTTTTTAGGAAAGTTGTGTGTGTGTGTGTGTGTGTGTGTGTGTGTGTGTGTGTGTGTGTGT